TTTCATTCCTATGCACCTCCATTTGTTATTATTTGGATCTTTTGTTATGGAACACTAAAAAAATACTCAATTTATGGGTTATAAATATTTTAATTTAAACGAGCAAATAAAAATAATTATTTTAAGGGTTTAATTAGATTTTCCTGATCATTTCAACCTTAAAATAATTTTAACTCTCTTATCAAGAATTCTTGATAAATATTCCCTAAGGAAAGACACCACATGGTGTATCCTTCTCCACACATCATTGGATGTGAGAGTTGGAAAATCCATAAAATGGGTAAGTCTATTACAGTCTCTTTCATTCAACTGATCATTCAGATCATCAATTTTGAGATACTCTCAAATATATTTCTTTGAACATAACGATTGACATTTTCCATCATCGTTCATATTCAGGATCAAATACTTCCATAAGTCATGTATACTTCTAGAGTATATTGATGCTTTGTACAACTTCTTTGAATGATCATTTAAACTTCAAGCTGTAAAACGTTCTTGTAAACCATTTAAGGTTTCACCTTTGGTGTCAATATCATTTGTTTGGGCTGAGGTACATTAGTCACAAAAGATCTAAGGTGATTGATTACATTTAGATCTTTTCAATTTAAAGCAAAAAGATTTCAAGTGTCTAGTTTTCTTACAGTGAGAGCATTTATATATTGGATACTTCTCTTTCTGAGATCTTCATTTTCTAATCTCGAAACTGTATCTTCCTTATTAGGTGCCTTTGAGAATATTCTATCTTCTTTGTGGGAAGACGATTCTTTCATGTTTCTCCTCGAGGTTTATGTTTCTCCTTCTCCTCTTTGTTCAAATGTTGAAGAAACTTCTCCATTTTCTTTGTTGTTCTTTGAATAAGAGGAACCTTCATCTGATGTTCGTCATTCAACTATTGAGTATATTCTTTTGAAGGATTGGTCTGGAGTTGTATGATAGGAGCAAAATGAGGACGATGATTCTTAGATTTGGATTTATTAATCTTTAAGTTGTTGAATCAACTCGTTCATCTTCTTTATGATTTCCTTCCTTGTTGATTTTTCCTGAAATTCATGAAAGCTTCCATCTATAGATTTAAGAGTTAGATTAATTTTCTAATTCTTAATTCTTAGATATTTGTTAGTCAAAAAATTTTCAACAAAAATTCCTATATTTCTAAGAATAGAAGAACATCCAAGACTAGTATCTCCATCTTCTTCTCCTCGTGTGTTTATCTTCTCTAGCTTGATACTTGGAGAAACTCCACATATATTTTCAAGAGTATCCCACATTTCCTTGGCGATTTTACAACGAGGAACATAGAAAAGTACTATCATCTAAAGAAATTATTATAAAATTCTTGGTTTTAAGATCTATATCTATCTTTCTCTTTTCTTCTTTGGTCCAAAGAGAGTAAGGTTTATCCACTACTTTATCATATATTTAATGAGAGGGGTAAACTGGACCTTTTGCAATTGTTTCTAACAACTTATGATCTAAGCTTTCAAGAAAAAGTTTGAATCTAGCTTTCAAAATATAAAACTTCTATTTCAAAATTTGGTAGTGAATTTAAAAAAGGTCTTGTGTCGAAAGTCATCTTCCTCATGAGACGATTAATCCTAAAACATGAGTTAGCCTCTGATTCCACTTGTTAGACTTGAGACTTCACACACAAGAGGGGGCAATATGGGGGGTTTTTGAATTGTGTGATTTAAAAAAACTTGGTTTTGAAAACTTTTGTTAAGTTAAATCAGAGTTTAACAACACTTTCAAAGACTAAGCAACTGTAAGTAAATAACAGAAAGTAAATAGTTAAGGAAAGAAGAAGAACACGGAGAAGTATAGAGATTCAGTCAAATCAAAAGGATATACTCTTCTCCCTAAAACTTTGTCTTGAGATTTTCTAATAATACTTGAGAGCTTTTAGTAGAAAAGGCTCATGAACCCACTTATACAAGAAAATGATGGTTGACTTTTAACCAAATATTACAAGATGATAGATATGAGCGTTTGCATTTTTTCTTCAATATATTGCTGAGAATGAACTATCCAATCTTCTTTCCCAATGATGGACTGAAACAGTTAGTCTCATTTTCACGAACACAAACCTAATCTGTTGATGGTGGATCTGGTTGGTTTGAGATATAGTCTACTAGTAACGAAATAATTCTTTAGAATTGAAGGTTTATTTCCATGTATTCCCTCTTTTGTGAGGCTGTCTTATTCTTTTGTTGTTGTTGTTTTTCCTTTAATTACGTTTATTTTCCTTTTCCTTGTTTCTAGGCACTTATGGTACTTAGTTGCTTTTGTTGTATAATACTCTATTTTCTTATTTAATATATTATATTTATCATTTTAAAAAATATGTTAAGTTGGTTATACTTATTTTTTAAAGAGAAGTGTTAAACATTATGAAGTTGTTAGGTACACAACTCACAAACTAGTTATGTAACCTTTATAAAAGATTCAATCACACACATGCGATTCTTGACGCAAAATTTTGTAATATTTATCATTATCTAAGGATTGATGACATTATTTTCTATATTTAAATTTATCTAGGGATTTATTTAAAATTTTAAAAAGTTCATTGATCTCTTTATAAATTACAAAATAGTTAAGAGATCTTTTTATAATATGCCACATTAAAGTTGAATGAGGGTTGGTTAATAATAATTTAACACACGAAATTAATTGAAACAATAAAATATTTAATGAGTTTTATTATAATTTTGTGTGGTTGGTACATAAAAATTAAGTATCTCCCGCGCACAATGCAAGTATTAATAGTTGGATTTTGAGACTTCACACACAAGAGGGAGGGGGGAGTGAATTGTGTGATTTGTAAAAATTTGGTTTTGAAAACTTTTGACAAGTTAAATCAAAGTTTAAAAATATTTTCAATGACTAAGCAGCAGAAGGTAAATAATTAAGGGAAGAAAGAACACAGGGAATTATAGAGGTCCAGCCAAATCAAAAGGACCTACTCCTCTCTCAAATACTTGATCTTGAGAGTTTCCAATAATATTTGAGATCTTTTACTAATAAAGGATCACGAACCCATTATACAAGGAAATGATGGTTGACGTTTAACCAAATATTACAAGACAATGTACATGAGCGTTTGTGTCTTTTCTTTAGTATATTATTGAGAGTGAAATGACTAATCTTCCTTCCCAACAGTAGATTGAAGCAATTAGTCTCCTTTCCACGAACACGGACCTTGGAGTGGTTAGTCTTCAAGTTTAAAAATATTTGAGCTCAATTCCTCTGGTTTTATCAGGACAAACCAAACAACCTGCAAGATTTTGGTCAGGCTAATCTCTAACCTATGAAGATTTTAATACCAGGATAATCTTCAACCTATCTTGGTTTTAATCAGGCTAACCAAGAACCAATAAAGATTTTAAAAATGAATAATCTTCAATCAAAACCTAGGACTAATCACACAATTCCCAACCTACGCTTTTATTGGATTTAGCTTCGAACCATAGATAATCCTTAATTGGTCAATATTCAACCAAGGTGTATATAAAAGATTCCCTTGGTGAATTTTACAATTCCATCCTTTCTAGAATTACAAAAGTATCCTCACTTGTAAAATAACTTTTCTCACAAAAACATTTGACTATAACATCTAGTGAGAGAAAGTTAAAATAAAATTTAGAGAGAGAGATAGTGTGTGTGAGAGAGATAGAAGTGTCATTACACGATTCTAAATGGTTTGAAATGAGAAATGGGCATCTATTTATAGGGTTGAAGTTTCTTAAAAAAAGAAATTTGAAGTCAATGCATTTTGCCGTTATCTAATCGATTAGACATAAATGCTAATCAATTAAATGTTCAAAAATAATAGATTATAAGTTCTAAAAATGAAAGTTTGAGATATACAACCGTTGTATAGAATCAAGGTGTATTCAAACTAGATTGGACCTCAAGTTTGTGCAAATCTAATCGATTGAGTATTTTATTTAATCGATTAAATGAGTCAAAATTTTGCCCATGACTATTTTGACTGCTCCCAATTCATCTGATACAACTTTCATATGTTTCTTAAAGAGTTTTCTTTTGACAAAGCATTTTGAAAAAGATTTTAGTGTGTGTGTTTATAGTCTTATACTTTTACTAAAAAACCCTTTGCTTACATAAGTTCACTTAATTACTTAATAAGGATATTAACTCCTTTTCTACAAGCGCTTTGCCATTTACTATCTTTGTGTTGACACTGCTTGAGATCAGTTGAGGCTTTAGGTACTTTCCACTTTATTTACCTTCTTCGGATAGTCAAATTTATCAAACCATATCACATGAGTTTGCATCTTTAACCGTTTAGGCAGTGAGCTTGACTTATTATTAATTTTCCTTATAATTGTCTTTATAGTTGTCCTTATAGTTTTCTTTATAGCTATTCCTATAATTGTCATAATCAAAAGCTGATATCTTAATTAAAGGTCTGTTACTTGTAAAACAAACTTCCACACTAATCTCTCGAGGGATTAGTATCTTTTTTTTATATAAGTTGATTATCCTCTGTGCGCAACTGTAGAGACTAATTCTTAAATGAAGAGAACTATAATAGACGACAAAACTGGTTAAACTAGAAAAGACTCTTACTATCTTATTCAAGTGTTCTTGGATGATTATAATCTTCTAAACTATCTAAAAAGAGATAACAATGCAATTTATTACCCGTTTTTCTATTCTTTATGTATAATTTTGATTATATTAATATCCCAATTGAAAATGATGATTAAATCTAATAATATAATTAAAGAAGAAGTGGTATAGAAAAACCAGGGGTGCATTAGCAAGCCCTAAAATTATATAACCAAGAAATGAAGATCCAATTCGAGTCCAACCCGTTTAATTATAAAAAATAAAAGAAGAGAAGAAAAAGAGATAAAATAAAAAGCAAAGCCAAACGAAGCCGTTTTGGACTGTGTGTGGCACCAACATAAACATTAGGCAATAATCAACCAGAAATCGAACAAGAACGAAGAAGAAGAATCGAAGTAACAATCATGGCAGGTCGATTAACCAACGTAGCATCGCAAATCTTAGGCGGAAACGGCGTCGTTCACAGATCGATAGCTTCCTCGCTCCGCCTCCGCTCCGGCATGGGTCTCCCCGTCGGCAAACACTATGTCCCAAACAAACCCGTTAGTTTCTTTTACCCTAACCTATCAAATTCATTTTCGTTTTTCGTAGAATCGTGAAAACTAACCTCAATTTTCAGCTTCCTGTGAATGAAGAACTTACATGGGACAACGGTACTGCATATCCTGAGCCTTGTATAGATCGCATTGCTGATACTGTTGGAAAGGTAACTAGTTTTCACCCTATCGATGTAATTTGTTGAGTTATTATTATAATAATTTCCATGTGTGAAGTTGATGGTTTTTGCTTGTGAAAACTAGTATGAGGCTTTGGCTTGGTTATGTGGAGGATTGAGCTGTTTTGGGGCTCTGGGATTATTGGCTGTGTGGAATGATAAAGCCTCCAAGACACCGTTTGTAAGTCAGCTTGCTAAACATCTGGTTTTGCTATGGATGTTTGCTGGTTTTAATTCTTTAATATTTGTTCATTGAATGCTATGCTTATAAGGTTGAGTGTGATGATCCTCATTGATGAATGTTGGAACTTGGATGTGTTTTAAGGTTGATTGGATATTCTTGTTTTCATTTCTTGCTTGTGGGATGTATTTCGAGTTGTGTATTGTCATATTTTGTTTTGATCCTTTGGGTGTAGTTGTTTATGGCTATCATTATCCGATAGTGCCATTAAGTGAATGACCTCAAAATGCGTTGCTGAATATTATACATCCATGACATAGAATTTGTGTTAGACATATAGATAGTAAAAAATAAATTCTAAACTTTCACAATTTTTTATTCAAATCATGGCCTAAATGCACAATTAGTATACAAAAAGTAGAAGGAAAATGAGGAATTATAAAGAGTGTGTTGATGAGTGAGGGAAAAACAACTCGGAAACAAGAGTTAAACAAAGATGGTGAGAGTTCGAATAATTCAACGTAACATAGAAACAAAAATTTAACAGAGGCCTGTGTGAGTGGGAGACTTATGGGCAAGTACCGAGTAAGGTCCAGCAAGTAATTGGCATGCTGAACCAGGGGGGCTGAACAGAGACCTGTGGTGGAAAACACTGCTTGGCTGGAAATGATGCCGTGGAGTCGGTGCTTTCTGGGTGTTTCTTATGTTGTTAATCTTAGATAGCAACATGTAGCGCTGCATCCCGAAAGTGCTGTAGCGCTATGGAGGATAGCGGGATGACCACTATTGTGAAGACTAAAAAACAATGTACAAAGTATACATAAGTTCCAACTAAACACATACATAAATACTCAAAAATAGAAAAATACACAATTAAACTGACAATCATGCTTATAATTATAATCAACTTTGTTGCTTCCCATCAAAATGAGTTTTGAATGTTTTGTATGCTTTCTAGAGAGTAAGCTGCATGGTTATTTTAAATTGTTATGATAATGATATAGTTGTGTTTTCTTGTTGGGTTGGGTTGAGTCAGACTGCTCTGGAAAACTGGTTTGGTTTGGATGAGAAGAAAGAAAATAAACGTGACATAGGCTATGTTGATTCTCGAGTCAAGGAAACTGAACTAAAATCCACCAAACCTGACACTATTTCTTACTCCCTGCGTCCCACAAAAATTGTCACATTTGCTTATTTCAGAGAGATTATGAAAAGCTATAAATAAAAGAAAAAAAATGTAATTTTACCAAATTATCGGTGTCATGTATTGGTGTGCTCACTATTATCATAATGCAAAGTGGAAAATATTGATTTGGGGGTGATGAACATAATATTAAATTAATTAGGGGGCACAATTGGAAAAAGTGTAATTTATATTACATTGAAAATTGAAAGTAACATTCATTTTGGGTCCTTTTTTTTTTTGTTGCAAATGTAACGATTATTAATGGACAGAGACAGTAACTTTTATGTTTCTTTTGACTTTGAACTTCAATTTTTTTTATAAATATAAATTTATGTTGTCTGACATTACAACTCAACCTGATTAAAGCCATTGCCCAAAATAATTAAACAAAACCTGAACTGACTCGACCTAGCTTATACCGCGTCCCTGGATCTTTTGGATGATAGAATATTTCTTTTCTTTCTCCATCCTTGCTGTTAAATAATACAAACAGCTACCATATGTTTGTGTGCATTGCAACAATGTTTAGTTTAGTAGCAAATTTGAAGCTTGCAAGGTGCAATATAGCTGCTGATGAATCTAACTTCGCCCTGTAGAATTATAATACAACTAACTTACAACATAAATTTAGATGTCTCATTTAGTCCTGTATTTTCCCCATGAGTAATTTTTATGTCAAAGAGACTCAATTCTTGGATTCTTAGTTTTGCTACAAGTAATTTAGAGGCGAATCACATTTACCGTTGGTTGTTTGAAGCAGTTAGTTCAGATTTTGGTTCTACTATTTTCAGTTTCTTTTCGTTTATTCTTTCCTCCTTTGTAATCAAGTATTTACGGAACTAATTCAACGTAACAAGATTATTCATCTTCACTCTCCTGATTGTTAACATATGCTATCAAATCAATTTATCTCCCAGCAAGCTCTTGACTTGCTTTAACACTTTCTATGTTATTGACTGTGGTTCTTCATATTCAATGCCTTTTCTGTTCTTGTTCATTCCTGGATCTCTTCATTCCAGTTGATCATGCATCAAATCATTACCTTCAGATAGATAATCCCAGTCTAGTTCTAGTTTCTCAACCATCGTCTGGTTAGAACTGTTTTATCGAGGGCGTGCCATGAAGGTGACTTTGTTGGCAAAGTTTTTTTTTGGCTTAGTAGCCTTTGTTGATTGCTGGCTATGTTCAATTTCCTGATGTACCTGCCATTCAAATATTCTCAATCTGGCAAAGGAACATCAATTTTGTTGTTTCCCGACTGTTTGATTCCAAAAAAGAAATACAGCCAGCGTTTGCTCCAATTCTGCAGCAAAGATTTGGAGTGACCATTGTGAAACACTTCAGCAAAAGAATGCCCTGGTACTTTTCAATTGACGGAAAAAAAAATGTTGGAGCCTCTATTGAGTTATATATTGTTTATGGACTACATAATATTTTGTCCTGCTTGTAACCTTGTCATGGTCCGTATAACCTCCATGTATCCCAATTATAGTCATGCTTAGACTCAAAGCTATGTATATTTTCTTGACATTTTCATGTTTTGAAGCTTCACATGTAATGCCAGTGCTACTTTCTCCATTTATTTACTACTTAATGCTGATAGATGTTCATGTTATTGTGTCAGGCACCCAAAGTATATCCATATGACAATCTGCGAGTGGAGCTTGGTGGTGAGCCATAGGTAGATCCAAGGCAATAATGGGATGATTACTTCTTTAATGTATTTGTTCTCATCATTTGTACTCCTATCTTATCTTGTGTGGTCGAAAATAATGATGGATCAGAAAGACTTGCTGAAACCAAATACAGGAATGGAAGAGCCGAATCTGGTTTAATATTCTTTTGATCATTCTCATGTTTGTGATGGCAATGGTTAGTTTGCAATTTAGTCTGCACAATTTCTCCACTCTTTATGGAACCGAGTATAATCTTACAAGATAAAAAGTTTGAACCTTATTTAACCCTTATGGAACCGAGTATAACCTACTATTTTTTGTTGTTTGTCGTATTTAATTTCCCAAATTCATCTTCAGTGAAACATCGCAAAAGCTCAACCCAAATAATGTTAGAATAAATTTCCATCAAGAACTTGTGAAAAAGATTTTTTTTTTATAAGCAAGGAATATATTAAGAGAATACTAGGAGTATTCTAACCTGCTTTGTAGTATTCGTAAAAGTTACACTTAGTAATGGAAATGTTCACAATATGAGTTCATTTCCAAACCTTTAACTTAACCTCCCAACCTAAATCAGAATAAGAAGGATTGATTCTATTGAAAATAACATTTTGTTTTAGACACCAAATACTCCACACCATTGTCAACCAAATAGAGTTGGACGTGCTTTTCTTCAACCCTAACTTGCTACATTTAGACACCCAATTGTGTAAGGAGCATCAAAACTGCCCATATAATTCACACATTAAACCGTACCAACCAAAAATTTGATTCTAAAGTTATTTGATGCACGAACACTCTTAAGAAAATGTGAGATAAAGACTCAACTTCTATCGAGCAGAAAACGCAAAGGGAGACAAAATGGAAAAGAATCATACCTCTGCTCAAAAGACTGTCTTTCGACGGTAACTTATTCAACAAGCATCTCTACCAAAGAGCTTTGATCTTGAATGGAATATGCGATTTCCAGATATCTCCAATCATCGAACCGGTGTCATCACCCAACCTAGGAAATGAGTTTAAATTGAGGAGTGTTGTATCCGCTTTTCGTTGAGTACCCCGACTCTACGTCCGATTTCCACAACATAATCACCGTATCTCTGTCAGGACAAACCGCATGAAGACGCAAGCGAAGATGTTGTGCTTTCACCGCTACGAAGAATGTTACAACTGCAGGCAATCCGAAATCCCCCCAAACCCGCCCTTCTACCGTCCAAACCCCACGGACTCGACACAAGCATCCTTTAAATTACTGCACGCAAATAACTCAGGGAATTCCTCCATAAGGCTTCTGTCATTAATCCAAACTGCAGTCCAGAATGGGATATCCACGCCTGAGCCCAGCTGAAATGTGCAATTCTACGAAAGTGCTTTATACGGGAGATTAGATTCCAAATGTAATAAATACGCCTACCACTCAGATTTGAGCTTCTTCTCCGTACTGCTGCAACCCGCCAGAATTTGGTGCTTCAAGTATCCGTATCTAGCTTCTAAAATATCTTTCTAAAGCAAACTGGTCCCCTGTAAAATCTCTTACAATTCATCTAACCTACTCAGGCATCTGACTCCTAGGGAAGTTCTTCATCTTAGACTCGTGGGATGCCCACCTTCAGCGCTGTAACAAACAGTTAAAAAAAATTACCAGTTAGCTTTCAACACATCATGGAACAATAATAATTAAATTGAAGTTAAACATAAAATATGTATACCTCTCTCTACCATAATCGGTATGCCACATAACATACTCGATAAGCATTGATCGATCACTGGATCCTCTCGAGAACTCTCCATCAGTTTGCATAGATGGATCTGTCGAAGCATGAGCTGTAACCTCTGTATCATCACCAGTAGCAGTATCCTCATCGGAAATATGGACCAGACATGTGGCAACAACCTCATCATCAATAGGGGGATTTGTCTCAGCCACCTCATCAGCAATAGGGGTCGGATCTATCTGGGCCACCTCATCAGCCACCTCATCAACAAGAGGTACCACATCTTTTATGACCACCACAACTGGGTCAATAATAGCCTGACCTTGATGAGCATGAACATCCCCAACATTATCTCTAGGCTCCTGAGCATAAACATCCCCAACATCATCTCAAGGCTGCTCGTCTGATCTAACCACTTAACATCAGCTGCTACGAGGTGGGCGAAACTGCACCTGCTCAGGCAACTGTTTCTGGTGAGAACTTGTTGAAACTACTCGACCAACTCGTAGTTAAGAAGACTCTTTCGCAACAATCTTATCACGTGCTACCGCTCTATCAGTGCCATCCTTTCCTCTATTCTTCACTGCTAATTAAAAGAACGAAAAAAAACCAGTGAACTACATATTACCAAAAATTCCTACTTATTTGGAAATTTCCTATATATTACCGAAAATTTTGAAATTATCAAAACAATATTCAAAATTTAGGCAAATTTTTTCCAAATAATATCAAAATTTAGGCAAAAATCTTGTTTTTTTTTTGAAAAATCTGATAGTTCATTTTTGATAGGCAAGAAAAAAAATTGAAATTAACACAATTAGATTTTTTTAAAATATGGTACAATATCGATATTTCAAAAAATATGATAAAAACTCATAGATGTTTGAAAAATCTGATAGTATATTTAAGAAATCCAATAAAAACTCATAGATTTTTGAAAAATCTTGTAGTATATTTGAGAAATCCAATAAAAATTCATAGGTTTTTCTAAAAAATCCAATAAAAAAGCATAGATTTTTTTTTGAAAACATCCGGTAAAAACTCAGTTATTTTGAAAAATAAACTCATGATTTTTTGAAAATTCGGCAAAAACTCATAGATTTTTGAAAAACTCTAAATTTTGAAAAATCTGGTAGTGTATTCGAAAAATCAGCTAGTTTAAATTCGATAAATTTTGAAAAATCCAGTAAAAGCTTATAGATCCCCCAAAAAATCGATAAAAATCTGACAAAAACTCATGAAAATTTTCAAAAATCTGGTAAAAACTCAAAAAAAATTCAAAAATCCAAAAAGCACTATAGTTTTTAAAAACGTAAAAAGTTATAAAGAATATTATGATAAAAATACTGCAATTGTGTGTGTGTGTGTGTGTGTGGGGTGGGGGGGGGGGGTGGTGGGTCAGGTGTGGCAGGATAAAACCTTATCTTTTATTTTGGTTCGGCTCTTAGCTATGCGCATACAAAATTCTTCCATAATTGCCAGGCTATCAAGAAGATATTTTGTAATGAGAGTTGTTCATTACATTCCATGACTTTGAAATTTCAAAGTACGTCTAGATTCCAGGTTTTAAAATTCAGACGTGTTCGAAGTACACAACAAACTCTACCTTTAGCTTTCAGATTTTAAAATCCTGACGCGTCCAAAATATGCAACATACTTTGAAACACACCAAAACAAATATTTAAAAAAGTCTGAATTTTGGACTTTGGATAAGCCCCACCACCTCACACCTTGACGTGTTTTTATTAACAATATATGACACATATTTATGTTAGTTTTAGATCAATATGGACCATACATAAGCAATCATGTTTGACAGAACATTAAATTTTTTTAATTTATAAAAAAGGGAGCCAAAAGAGGGGGGGGGGGGGGGGGGGGGGGGGGGGGGGGGGGGGGGAGGACCAAAAACCTCTCAAACAGACATCAATCTAAGCTTGGGAAAACTAAATTTGTTGTTCAAAAAATTCCTCCTTAACTTCCTTAATAACATGATTATACCAAGTATGAGACCTATTAAAAAGACCCATACGAGCAAGAATATCAGCACAAGAGTTCCCCTCCCTGAAAATATACGTAAACATGAGCCCACAATTTCTGAAATTGTACAAGAAATTCAACCAACGACTCTTGATAAACCAAGGGACAAGGATTGCATTATGGAATGCCCTAAACACACTTAAAGAGTCAGACTCAATCCAAAGGTTGTCTCAGTTCTTGTGAAAATAACCTCCATCACCATAATCGCTCCCATGAACTCAGCCAGAAGAGCATTTTTGTTGCCAATGAAGAAAGAGAATAATCCCATATCATCTCCATTAGAGTTATGAAACATCGCACCGCAAGCACACTGAGTCAGAATCTCGACAACCACACCATTAAAATTCCCTTTTATCCAACCATGGGAAGGAAGTTTCCAAAGCACATCAATGCTACTCTTAGCCTTTGGTTGATTAATATTGATATTGAGCTTTTTAAGCGCAGAAAAGTCATAGATATTGATAGAGCTACTAATAGTGGAGTTGTTACCCACCAAGGTCAATAAGGAAGATATGTTTTATACACAAGAAGACCAATTAGCATTTATGTCGTCAAACCTAATTTTGTTCCTAACAAACCAGACATCCGCGAAAATAAATTAGATCCCAACCATAACGACTAACTTACATTGAGCAGACCAGCCTGCATTAATGAACTTCCAATAGGATTTCAATACAGACTATGTTATCATTATAATTTAAAATGCTAAGAAGCCATTTCCAAAGATTTACGACAAACCTGTAGGAGAAAAAGAGATGAGGCATGGATTCTTCCTGGTTGAGACACAAGGAACATTGAGAAGGAAAGTAAAATCTCTTATGGAGAATGTCATCAATGGGAATTACATTATGCATAAATTTCCACAGAACGATAGATTTTGTCGGCAGAATAGAAGCATGACAAACCATGCTTCTCCAACGAACATGGTTGCTCTTGCCATGGCATAAGTCGTACGTCTGTTTTAGAGTCATCATGCTAGAATTGGAGTGGCTCCAAACTCGGGTGTCGTCGAGATATTCCAACGGAAGGATGCAATTGTTAATATAAGAAAACAGATCCGGAAAAGGCAGAAGCTGGTTTTAAGGAAAATTCCATTTGTAGTTTGAGATGTAGTCTGCCACCATAGCCTTTAGAAACTTGTGGAAAATATTAGGAATATTGTGAATGTCTGCAAGAGGAGTGCCACACCACGAATCCAACCATAAATTAGCTGCATTTCTGTTCCCAATCATCCAAACTGAATTGTCATT